AGAGTTATACATTTTTTCGTATTTTTTAATAAGAGATATGTTGGATGAAAACTTGATAAATTATAATTTGATTTAATTGTCAATTTATAAAAATAAGTGTAGTTGTTTTTAATAATTTGGCCTATAAACTAATATATTAGCTACTGTTATACAAAGTTCACCAATAACTCTAAAGGTCTCGATGTAATTCAAAATCGATATAATAATTATAATAACTTACCCTACGGGAAGTTAATAATTGTTTGATATTACTTTAGTTATAGTACTAAAGTAATGATTTATCCAATAGTTGTCTAAAACTGTTGGTTTAAATATCTTAAGATATTCCAATACACCGATGATCGCTTTACGAACAAATCAAGCTGCAAAGTTTCATAATCAATATAATCCGTTTAATGCTCTATTAATTTAATAACCTACAGAATTATACATTTCTTCATATGCGTTATGTGGATGGTAAATGGAAGTTCGATATTTTCATTAGGAGATTGATGCAAAAATAACTATTTTGTCTTACCTTAAAAAATATACCAATGACTCTAGAACATTGAATGTTAATCAAAATCGACATAATAATAAATTTGATAACTGCATGATTTTATAGACTATTACATTTAAGTACTGAAGTAATGCGTTGACTAATAGGTGTGTATATCTAAGATGGATTTGAATAGATCGATCAGGTGCAAAATTTCATAATTAATGTGATGCATTTAATGCTCTAATTAAAGTTATGCCCATTTGCAACAATGCGCACATAAAGCAGTAAAAGCAAAATCGTGTAACCGTACGCAACAGTAGAACATACCAAACAACGGCTTTCTATAAATTATCTCAGGGTCTCGAAGAGAGCGGAAATTCTGCCAAATTGTAATCAATAATTAGGAAAATTCAAAAGATATCTTCAATGAAAATAATATAAAGTATTTAAAAAAAATTAATACACATAACACATAACACAACATAAGACGTCGGGTCGTGATTTTAGCAAGTACAGCATAAGAAAAGATTTTTACAAATTAGTATAAAGGATTCATCTAATAGTAAACTAAGGACAATGATAATAATTTTCATTATACAACAATAACTTTTTAAACAGGTTTGGTAAACTGGAAAAGAGCTCTTAAGATTTGATTCAGTAATTTAAGTGATCTTGAGAAGTATAGTACCACCAATTTTATTTAATGCATTAATTTTTGATTTTCATTAAGTTCAATGATAAAAGGAGTAGAGTCTTAAAGCACGAGTAACCAAAAATCAGTATAGTAAATTTAATATATTTATAATTGAGTGATCGAAAAAGTGATATGATGACTTATTCGTGAAATGATGACTTCTTCGCTCCGATCATTCAATAAGATTTAAATTACAATTAATTGAAAAATCTTAAATATTAAAAATCTTAAAATTGTCTAAAGGGATTTTATTAGAATGTAGCACTTATAATTGGATTTACTATCGATTGATTCAACAAATCAATCGTTATTTGAAGCAGTAAGATAAGGAAGCATAAATTTCAATTTCAAGCCTTTCAAGTTTAATGGTGTATTATCAGAAGTTTTATACAAATTAACTACCTTTGTACATAATTAATAAGTTTTTTATAGGATGTATTTAAAAGTTTTCTCAATTTGGAGTTGTACAATTTTGAATGAGCAATTCTAATGTAATTCTCAGTAAAATTATAGATCCTGCATCTCATGCTTTCCTTATTATTTTTTCTTCGAATTGAAAAAATTAAATGAGATGCATATTTTTCTACTTATCATTGAAAGCATAATAATTTATACCGTTTGTTGCATATCAATATTATCATCAAAATATCAATTATTACATTTAAGAACTTATACAGTTTAACGTCATTAGATAAATAATATTGTTCAGTTTAAAAAAAGTGATAGTAAATCCATCTTAATTAATTTAGTCAAGATAACTTTTTTCTTACAAAGTTTAACCTTCGCGATGAATAATGGTGAATGTAACAAAAAGTGTTACACAATTTTGTGTTATTGTTTTGTCAATGACCTTTAATTTTTATTACATGTGGACAATAATTGAATGTGTTTTGTTTATATGCACGTTAAATTTAAAGGAAAATTTATAATATTTTATATATATATATATATATGTATATATATATATATATATATATATATATATATATATATCAGTAGTATTAAAAGTGCAAAAATACCTTTGAAAATATTACACACTAAACTGTTTTTGCACTATTTTAATAAATGGTGCTAAATGTGGGAATACGAGCGTGCCTTATCATTAGGGTTAATATAAATAATTAATTTTAATTATATATGGCCATAAAATCTTTATTGGTAATAAAATTAAATTAGGTAAACATTTCTGCCTAAGACAATGCTTGAGAACTTCATGAAGGATGGAAATTTTATTAAATATAGTTATCAATTTAATTCTATATTTGCCGACATAAAAATTGATTCATTAATGAATCTAATGAAAAAAATTAAAATAAATGTATAATTAAACGAGAAAAGTAAACGCTAAAAACAAGCACAATTCATATTACATTTTCTATAATAATTCTATTTCTATAGTTTCACCTTGTATACATTGTATCCATATAATACATCTCACCTTTATCTGCGATTGCGCTGCCAAAACTCTCGTAAACAAAGAAACCGAGAAAAACAAAACTGATAATGTATATAATCCTCATTTTCCTTAACGTATTTTTCTACACCACTTATTAGCACAAATTTATTGAATGTACTTAGTAAAATAACACATTACCTAAACCGAGCACAGATAAAAGTTTTTCACTTTGAGGAAAGGATACATCAAAATGGGAAAAAATAAATCGAGCAAAACATCGAAGAATATAGATATTAGAAAACTTGAGTAAGAACTGAGGAAGTTGATGTATTATTTTTTTATTATGTTATTTAACTTTTAACGAGTTTGTCTCACAAGGTACACAAGCAAAGTGGCAGATTGGATAGTTCACGATAAAGTTTCGTTTTAATTTTACCTTTTACATTTCACGTGGGGGGGATTTCTCAAGACTGAATTCACAGGCCGGCTAATGACACGGGCTTTTTTATTTATTAAACAAAACGTGCCCCGATTTGATATTCTTTAAAACAATTATCAGGAAGACCAGTTAAAACAAACTGTTTTGCTAGAAATTAGTTTGAAATTATTTTAAATTTTTCAAAATTATTGCTAAATGTTAGTAAAATTATTATATTTAGTTGCAATGTGTGGCAGTTCTGAATAACTCAAGAAATTCAGAGAATCTGTGAAAAATTATTGAAGGACTCTATGAAGGTCAAAAGTAGGAAGGAAAAACTATGTAAAAATATATCAATTTCAATAAATAAGTTTAAAGTTAAAGTATTTTTGATAAGTTAAAGTAAATTATGATATAGATAAATAAACTGAAAAATAAAAAAAAAATGTTAAAAAATAAAGCAATCATTATTTTTAGGAAAAACGCCAATTTCATTTTATAATCTCAATGATATAAAGCACATGTATGGTAGATGCATGTGCTTTATACGACATCAATAAAAAAATCTCTAACTTTTTTAAATTGTTTAATTTTTCTTTAACATGGCGTAGTAAATAACTTAATTTTTACCTATGTGATATAGGTTTTAAAACGTATAATTAATATTTTTATATTAACAATTTATTTTTAATTTGCGAGAAAAAAATATAATAAATGGAACATTAAAGAAAATAATAAAAATAATATAAAATAATATAAGTGATGCATAACTAATAATAATATTATTTAAAATAAAAGTAGATAATTTATTTTTATTAATGGTATTTAAATTATATAACTTTTCTAAACCGAATATAACTAATTCCATTCATTACATATAATGCCATTCAAAATCCAATAAACTACTATAATAAAATTTAGTTTTGCGCAACCAAAACATTCTTCTTAACATCTCATATGATAAACAGTCGAATTTCCGCAATTAACGAACTGTTGCATAATATCCAATAAATACCAAAGTTGGTGAAAGTTCAATCTTTCTTGTCTGCATCACTCGTTTATACCCACGAGCATTTAGTATCTGAATTAATGTCATGATCATAGAAAACATTTTGCATTAAAACAAAAATCCGCCTCGAGATAAAAAAATAATATGTAGCAATGCAGTAGAACGTAGTATATATTACTTATTACATTAAATCCAAGAGTTTGATTACTTTTTCATAATTACATAACAGTAATCAATTAATTGTTTATTTATAGTGTTTTATTCCAACAAAATTGATCTCATTATCATTTTGCATTTCAACAAGAATCTGTCTTTTAGTAGAAACTATAAAATCTAGTGGGATCTAGAGTAGAATGTATAGGGAGTAGAATGTGCTATATTAAATATTAAGTGAAATTCAAAATTTTGATTACGTTTTTTAAATAACCTTATATTAATTAATAAATAGTTTTTAATATTTGTTATTCCAAAATATTATACACGGATAAAGCTGCCGATGTACAGAAAAAACGAGAGTTTTTTATCGATTCGAAGAATGCTTCTTGTAGAATCTAATATTTTATTATAAACAGATAAATTCCTAACATGTATTGCAATTTAATTAAAGTTAATTTTTTTCAATATTATAGTCTGATTAGTCTGATTGAGTTATCGCTACTACAATTACCAAACTTTGCTCTACTTTTACTCCTATATTTGAGTATATATATAATATGCACCTATATAGTGAACATATTACATTATTCTGCTGAGATAAAAAATAATGTTTTTATATTAATTGCTTTGATAATAATTATTGTAACTCAGAATTAACATAATATTTTTTTATAAATATTTATGCACAATAAAGTATTCTCTGTTTAACTCATTACATCTATCACCTTTTTTAATTGTAGATTTGTCACTATTACCAAATTAAAAAAATTAACTGTAAAACCAATAAAAATACATTAATCATATTTTTTATATATTTTTCTTCATAAAGAGATTTTAACTGCCTACCATCAATCAAGCTTAGTAACTGCGCCATTATCTTCTTGAGGATGCGGCTTATTTAATGAGAACTGAAAAAAACTGAAATTAATTGTTTGTGCGATAATAAACCATACGCGTTCAATTGTTGCTTAAGATTGTCTATTCTTTATGAATTAATCAATATTTCATTTCATAATGATCTTAAACATTTAAAAGATGTTGTAATGCGTGTGAATCGGATTTTATGAATCATATAGTTGTGAATGTACCTGTATCGCACAAATGAGTGGAAAAACACACAATTTAACTATTGCTCAAGCTGTTGTCTCAATTATAAAAGTAGAATAGATAAACTAGGCAATTTTTAAAATTTCGTAGAAATATATAATTTGGCATTCCTCAGAGAACCACAGTTGTAGAAAATTTTAATGGGCAAATTATAAGTGTTGCTGCAATGCAATCCACAGTTATTATTTTATTTTCGCAATTTTAACGCCAGATTTTTCATTGAGGAAAGAAAAGAATACAATTTTGATGTTTTATAACTTTATTCGCATTCGCATTCAAAATGTATAATTCATAATACTGGTTTTGCATAAACCAGCAAAACATTAATTAATAATATAAATTACTTAAGATTGAGGAAGTATTTATATATCTATAAACGACCTCAAAATCTGTGAATTGATATCACGATGGAGTTTTGGAGTATCAGTTCAGCATAACTTTAGTCCTTATAATTTTGAGGAAATATTGATTCCACTTTAATAACTTGGCGGTTCTGGTAAGAGCTATTGACAGGTAAACAGACAAATAAGTTGAAGAGCAGTTGTAGAAGGATTATACTACATCGATGTTATTAATGTTTCTCAGAACTCAGCTAGATATATTTCAGTTAGTTCGGTTCACTAAATTTAATTTATATGCAGCTCGTTTCCGTTATAGATACATATTTGATTAAAACTTCAACAGATGTCAATGAAGTGTTTATTATGCATAATATATCATCAAACTTACTGTGAATTTTGTTGTTTATTATACTCTTATAACATAGAATGAACTTTTTTACTAACAGAGAAGACATCTTTATGATACACTTAATTTCTGAATTTTCATTAATTATATATGTTTAAAACCTTTATATTTTCATTGTGTTTATTTTCTTTATGTCTGCTATATCTATATGTTTTCGACGTTTCAAGAAATTTTAAATCGTTTGATACATCCATTTGATGAAACAGCTAGGATAAAGTCGAGTTATATATAATTAGCTGATAAGTGCAAAATTTGCCAAAATTTTCTAAAAAATTTCATGATTATAATTGAAAATCGGTCTGATTACTTTTTCATAAAGATGGTCTAATAAACATAGATTCACTAAGAGTAGTTGAATTAAAATTTAAAAATTTCTAAATTCTAACACTTTTCTCTCGCGAATTCCGAGATTTATATGAATTTTGCCGCCGGAGCGTCGGCATCCGAGTTGAAAGGGTTCATTCTTATTGATTGTCTTAAGGCAAAATGCCACTTCCACCTAGTAATTATACTTCTGTGTTTTATTTTTATCATCTATAATATGATATATATGTTTACGTATACCTATATAGCGAAATAACATTATCATTGATGATTATTTATTATCTATGAAGATAAATATATATTTTAATAATTTTGATAAAATGTTCGTGTTGGCTTTAAGTATTAATTTATGCATCACCAAGCTCCGCAATAGGATTTAAAATTTCAAGTTCTGCTGATGCTAATTTTTTTGTTGTTAGTTTTAGTACAAAGGTACAAATTTTAAGGGCTTTATATAAATATTTATTTATAAAGAAATGGACAAATCAAATCAAATTGGCTAATAATAATAAGCAAAAATATATAAAAGAGCCTTACTTTTAGCATGATAATACTACAAAGAAGAGCTTTTACCATCATTTTCTTGGGTCCTCCTCGTCTGCAATGCTGCACAATGAAGGTATCATTTTTAATATAATTATCTTTTAATTTAAGATTATAGAGTAACAAATGCTATTTACTAGTGTATCTAAAATAATTAAATTTCGGTTCATTAGTACATCTCTGCTCGCCTCATATCAAATTCTTATCAGTTCTACACCTTTAATCAATGCTCGATACCGCCGTCGAACAATGCCGTACCATTGCTACGATACATTTCAGTTTCCTCTCTCTGCAGTGCGGTTAATAAATCTCTGAAACTAATTACGAGTGCAGTAGCAATTCTTTTTTTACTAAAAGTAAAATAACTTTGGAACAAAATGGCAAGCACAAGACCCCACAGGGAGAACATGACAGACGAACAAATTGCAGAATTCCGTGAAGCTTTTGCTTTGTACGACAAAGACGGAGATGGTGCGATATCAGCCGCCGAATTAGGAACTGTCATGAGGGCTTTGGGTCAAACTCCTTCCGAAGCCGAACTTAAAGGATACGTCAAGGTATGAATAAGTGAATAATGGTATTATTTGATAGAAAATTTACTCAATGTAACATTACTCATTTGCCATATGATAAGAGTTTATTGATAAGTTTATTAATCGAATTTAGTCACCGGTTGAGGTATTCATATATGGCCAAATGATTGTTTGGGAATTTAATAAGATTAAATAGATACAATTAAATTGTATAACATTTGATAAATTTTTGGGTCTAAGTCAGTTTTAAATTGCTTTAAATTTAAAATTTTATCTTGAACTGCAATTCATTTAATATAATTTGGAAAAATGTATTTATATGAATTTATTATCATATTAGGCGTGTTAAACAATCATACAATTAAACTATCTGTAATTGAAATTTGTTAGAAAATTAAATTTTACTATAGAAAATACAAAAAATGACTACATACGATCCACATCAACTAATAAATGATTAGCAGTAATCAATTTATGTATAAGATAGTAAAAACTAAAATCCGCAATTAAACAAACATTTTCCTTAAAATTTTCTAAAAACGTTCTGAATTTTGTACAACAAATTTTCAGCATTGCTTTGCTATTAGATCACTATGCACTATTTGTATTAGTTCCATATATTGTTATTTATAATGGAATGGAATTTACATACGATTTTAAACACATTCGCATTAGTGTATGTAAAACATTTTACATAATGTTTGTAAACAATATTGCTAAGTTGGAAAAGTTCCTATAAAATAAAAACATTATAATGCATAATGTATTAACACTATTCACGTCACTTTTCTCGAGTTGTTTAAATTAAATTTATGTCCAACTATACCATTATTTCAATTCTTGGGAATTCATGTGTTTTAAAATATTTAAAATTAATTATAATGTTTTTTTTCTAATTTAAGGATAACAGCGTGGCCATGACCGTAGATTTTCCAACGTTTTTGACAATGATGGCCCGACAGATGCAGGAAGGCAGCAGTGTTGATGAAATCCGGGAAGCCTTCCGGGTTTTCGATAAAGATGGTAATGGCCGAATGTCCGTTGCGGAATTGAGACACATTTTAACATCTCTTGGAGAACGCTTAACAGATAATGAGGTAAAAAGATATTTAATCAATCTGGTTGAAACATATAATAATATAATCTAAAAGTTTCACAATATAGAAACATATAATAATATAATCTAAAAGTTTCACAATATAGTTTTCATGTACTAGTTGCTCACGTATTTCCAAGTTGTTTATTAAGTTTAACATAATTAGATGGCAGTCGTTCTTGGTATCAACAACATATTTCCGGAAAATACATAAAATACTGAATTACATTTAACAATAAGTACATGTGCGAATCATGAATAATATTTATTTCATAAAATTGTACGCGGATGTTTTATTTGATTTTTTTATTTATTACAATAACAATTTCCAAGATATTTATATTTTTCCAAACAGAACGTGATATATTGTGTACAACAAGTATTGTTTACAATTTGACCTTTCTGATGTTTTGGATTAAATACGTCATAAATACGTAATTATTGGTAATGAACATAAGAACATCAGTTTGAAAACTGTAATACGTGTGAAGGATGAAAATAAAATTGTTTAAAATTCATCACTTATTTATTGAAATAAGTAAATAAAACTGCTGAGTCACCACTTATGTATTTTTGTTTGCTTAGTTTGTATGTAATATAACAAAAATATTAACAGTATATCTATAACGTTTTTTTAACATAATAACTTATTGATTTTATAATATTCTACACATGTTTCGAGTATAGGGTTGTTGGAATCTGTATGTTGTTAATTGGGAAGCATTTTTAAAGAGCAGCTATGTTAAAAACTAATGCTTTAAATTAGTTTATAGTTTTATTCAAATGGCATTTACAACAATAAATAAAACAAATAAAAGCATGCATATAAATTAAATTAAAATCACAATCGTTTTTGCAATATTTATTTTATGAACTATTTTTTGCAGGTGGACGCAATGATCCGAGAAGCAGACGTAGATAATGATGGGATGTTAGATTATGAGCAATTTATTCAAGCAATGACGATGAGTTCATAATATAAAAATAAATATGTTAATAGATATATTGAAATAGTCTTTGTTCATTGTTTCAATTTTTAATATATATAAATATATAAATATATATCTTTATACCTCCACCAAATATTTATAATTTAATAATATTGTTTAATGTTATTTCAATTAAAGTTATAACATAGAAGTTGAAATTTAATTATTTGTTTTATTGAAATTAAAATTTTGTACCTTATGCTTTACGCTGATTTAAAAGAAGCAATTTTTATTGCATTTATTAATTTTTAAAATTATTATTTGGTTATCAATGTTAAAAACATTGTTAATAGTATTTGTTTTATTTCAGATTACTTGGAATAATATTTTAATATTATTAGTTAATATAAATCATTTTCGCTCGCTTTTTCAAATAAAAGTTACGTTGTGAAGTTCGCGCAAGTGACAAGTCTGACATTCCATTATGGCAGGCATATTTTTGGCATTTGTTATTTGTGGCATGTGCTCCAAATAGTGCGGTTATCAACCAATAACTATTGAATAAATTCTTTCATAAATTATGTAAGTAAACATGTGAAATATAGATCTATTTGGAATAAACACTAGATATAAATTTTGCTTACTTGTCTTTAGATAAATTCACTTTTACTATGTCTGGTCGAGAAGGCGGCAAGAAAAAACCACTAAAAGCAGCAAAAAAACAAGATAAAGAATTAGATGACGATGATCTAGCCCATAAGCAAAAGATGAAAGAGCAACAAAAGGCTTTACAAGAAGCTAAAGCTAAGGCTTCTCAAAAGGGACCACTAGTTGGAGGTGGTATCAAGAAGTCGGGCAAAAAATAATGCATTTTTTAATTCTATTTATATAATCATTAAATCAATTGTACAGACCATAAATACATTCTTTTAATTTATAGATTGTGTTTTTGTACAAGTACTTTGGTGATCTATACATTGAAGGCCAATAATGGCAAGTGTCTTAATCGGTAGTTCAAATATGATTTATAAATATTTGGTTGCAGTATTTTCATAACCCAATATACATAGATAAAAGAAAAGTCAATATATTATGCCAATATATTACCTTCTTTAATAAAATTTTAACATATATTTGTGCTCAATGGATGTCTTGTGCTTAGCAAACATTTTACCTCGTATATCAATAATAATGTTTATTCAAATTAATATGTTAAAATCTGAATTTGAAAATTTCAAATAAATTCAGAGCTAATTGAACTCATCTGTCAACTTCAAAGTCAATTAATTATATTAATGCTTTTTGTATTATTAAGTTTCCATTACTTGTTCATTAGTATAAAGTTGTTAATTACTCCTTAGTGAAACCACAATTCACACAACAAATCATTGTAATGACTATTATTGTCGTTGAGATTTCAAATATAAATGAGTTAGCTAACCACTACTTCAAATAAAATTGTCTCTTTAAAGCTTTGTTGTTTATGCGTCATATGTGTTTTGGCCAATTGCAATTTTCAAGTGTCATCACATAACCTCCAAATCTATTGTGTACGTTTTCTGTAGCATTGCATTGCATTGACAAAGTTTTGTACAGAATTAATATTGCGCATCTTAAGAATGGCGTTATTTAAATATCAGGAGAATTTAATGAATCAAGACACAAGAACTGAAGCTCTGAATGATATTAAACAACAACTAGTTAGTGCAAGAGGCACTGACATTGCAGAATATGCTCATAGCATCAAGATTCCTCTGCTTTTTGAATGCTTGGAAAACGATGAGTGAGTTTTGTATTTAGCTATGCACATCATTACTTTTAAAACCAACTTTAATATCTGTAATTGTGATGTATATTCTTATAGTTTATATTTAAAATTGAAAGTGAGTTAACTCACTTGATTCAGTCGTTGATCTATATACCATGTTGTTTGTGATTTTATATTATAAAAATCATAATATATAAAAAGTTGATTATTAGTATTGAGTATTATCAATGATTGCTCACAGTTTAGTACATCTTTTCTTTATAAAGTTAAACACTGTGCTTAAACACATCAATAATTATGTCTACTGATCTCGACTTGATATGATCATAAATTTTAGTATAATTACATGATCGTATCAATCCTTGTGGGGTTCGATAACAAATTGTACTTATATAATAAATCAACTAAATAAATAAAGTACATAAATTTATAGGAATGAGGAACAAATTGATCTGGCCTGTGAAATCTTAACAATTTGTATGGAAAACTTATCATTAGGAGAGAGTTTGGTAAAGTATCCTGGTTCATTAGAAAAGTCACTAACACACAAATATGACATTGTTCGTCAAATGTCTTTGAAAGAGGTAATGTTTTTAAAGTACTAATTTTAAATATAAATAAATGAAGAGTTTTATTAAAAACTAATAATACTTAAAATATATTTGAAAAATTATTCCTATTAAGTCTGCTTACAATTAGTATATGCAATATTAACGAGTTCGTATTAGGATGTTATACAAATGAGTTATGTTTTAGATTCTAAGAGCAGCTGAAATCGATGGTAATTATTTTAATGATGTATCTCGAGAGAACCTAATTGCAAAAATCGTAGATTGTGTGGGACATGATAATTTAAGTGTAGCACATGTTGCTGTAAATATTCTATGTTTAATAATAATGCCATGGATAAGTAATCACCAGATATTATCTGGTTTGCAAAATGTTATGAATCGTGGTGAAATTCAAAGATTTAGAGTTTATGAGGTATTATATTATATGTCTTGTATATAATAAACTGCATTATTTTAATTTTGTAATTTTGATAGATAGTGATACAGTTGGCAACAAAATCTAAAGATAATTTTAATAAAATCGAATCTACATCATTCTTAGCAAAAATGTTAAGTGAATTAGATGTACAAGATGAATTAGTACAATTAAATGTTATTGAGTTGCTAACACAATTAGCTATGTCTGACCATGGTTTTAATTACTTAGAGAATAAAGGCATATTTAAACATTTTGCTGTACAAGTGGAAAATATAGATCAAAATCCATTGAGTCCTCTAATTTTACCAGGTATCTAATTAAATTTTTTAAATAATGAACACTTTTTAAAGTCTGATGTTATAATGAAAGAATCTTTTAGGATTGTTAAAATTCTTTGGTCGAGTTGCTCATACCAGACCGACATCTATGTTGACTCAATATAAGAACATTCTTTCAAAAATTTTTGATATTGTTCAAAATAGCTATGATGAAACATTGCTACTTGTATCATTGGATACAATAGGATATTTAGGAGCAACAAGAGATGGCAAATTTGCTTTAAATAATAACAGTATGTTTAAAGATGCTTTAATACAAAAAACCAAATTCTTAATCAATTTTTTAATTATTCAAATTATGCAGATGAAAATATGGTTGCCACATTGAAGAAAATCGGATTTTATATTCATAGTGGATCAACTGAAGTTAGGATTCGAGCATTGGATTGTTTAAAACATTTAGTTGAAATTGATCCACATGATACGAATAATGAAATACAATCTATTACACAAAAATGGTTTAACACATTGTGTGAAAACCCAGTTGACTTCATTTTCAATGTTTGTAGAAAACCATTCCCGGATATTAAATTGGCAGCATTGGGTATTTTGAAAGTTATTGCTTGTCAATTATGGGGTGCGGATTTGATTGTAAATAATCCAGGTAAATCCAGGTTCTTTGAAAAATGTGTTTAACAAATTATTATTTTTATATATCTCGCCTCAGGTATCATAGAATATTTGCTAGACAGGCGAACAGAGAACTTTAAAGATGGAAAACAAGCAAAGTTTGACATAATTTTTGCATTAAATCAAATTCCTGATTTAGATTTAGAATTGAGACAAAGACTGCAGTTGTATATTGCTGAAGGACCATTTTATGTTGAAGCTGTTACAGACATTGCCATTGAGGGAGAATAAATCATGTTTATAGCATCATATTTTGAATAATGTTAAATTATTAAAAATAAATATTTTGTAATATTTTTTCTTTATTTGATAATTACTAATCAATACACCATATAAATAAAAATGTCTCTTTATTCATATACATATTTATGATAACATTATATGATATAATCAAATCTTACAAAATCGTAAATTATCTTATTACAACAAAAACGTATCACAATCATTCTCACACCTTTGGTATTTAGTATATATTTATTTATATAGTTATTTTATTTTTTTAACATTAATTTGATAATGGACAAAATGCAACATATCGACAATATTGTATATGACTGTAGTTTCTGGACGGCCAAACTTTGAACAGCTGCTGGTAATCCTGCTGCAAATCAAATTTTACAAATATAAATTTGAAAATACTTATAATAAATATGTGATAAACAATTACTCTAAATTTATATTAATTTAAATTTTTATTTTTGTTTTTTTTCAAGTGCTGCAAAGTAAAAAAAAAATGTTTGCGCTCCATTAAGTTGGCAACAATTGCGGTTTATATATTTTTAAATTTGATATTCCGTCTCAAAAGTCATAAATCGTTTTCTCATAATAAAAATGCAATAATATTCAATTGTAATAATAATATATATCTATAATTAGCAAAATATAAATTGTTTTGGAATTGTAGTAAAACTGCAAGTTCAAGTAAGAATCGTAGTAACAAATTATTGCAACTGTCATTATAAGTTGTTGATGATGGAATCTGACTGGATTGTTGTCAAGTTCACATTATTTTAATGTCAGTCATCAACCATTGCTGTAATTGTTTCATCATAAAATTTATTCTAAAATGTGCAAAGATTGAATAAATTAAAGTGCAATTGTTTATTTTTTAGTGTTTGCAATATGTACGTTAGAAATTTGTGTCAGAAATTAATATAAACTTACCATCCACAACATGAACTCGTATCGTTGCATTAGGAGCATTGGAAGGCGTGCAACTATAGACCCCAGAGTCGCTCCCAATTGCCTGTTGAATTAGCAAACGGCTGGTGGTAAATATTCCTTTTTCCGTAACAGAAGAAATTCCGCCCCGTGGTGAATCATAGTTAATGACCTAAATGCATATTACATAAAATGACTTATTAGTATCAGTGCCAGTGGTAATGTTTGTATTCTGCATTGTCGCTTATAGATTCAGGTAAGTTGATAATATAATATAATATAGATTTAAATGTTTACTTATATTTTCATAATTTGATTATTTTTTGTCATAAGCAATAAGTAAAGGGTTACATCCGTTGAGAATTCAGTAGCGGTGATAGGCGTTAGCGACGCCGGCGGTCTTGCTATTCAAGGGCCTTGCAAAGTTTATTTTATTTATCATTTCATTGTTAGTTTTTTAACATCAGTTAAATTAGTTAACTCTAATTTGGCTTATGTAATTTAACGTTTTCTGGACTGGGAAAAAGGATGAGCTCGCAAAAATTCCGTCGACGCCTACGGGTGCTTTAGTTCCGTCACTATGCGTATGTGCTTTCTTTTGTATATAATATATATATATATATATATATATATATTATATATTATATATGTATATTTACATACTTAATAATGATATAAAGTAGAATTTTTACAATATCCATGTAGTATTACATTAATACAACAACATATATAATCTATGCGGTGGTGTTGTGTTAATTTTTTTTTACCGGAACGCCTACATTAAAATCGGTTCCAAAACCGATTTGTTCCGGTTCGGTTCTCGTATTTGTTCCGGTTCGGTCCGAATTCCAATCCAGCAGAAGAAAAAATCGTTCCAGACTCCAGATTACGGTTCAAAAAAACAAGCCGGTTCGTTCTGGTTTAAGTTCGGTTCAAACCCTTGTTTATAATAATACACATAAAATACACATAAATTCGAAAAAAAACGCATTTTTTTCAATACGCCAGCCTATTCTTCTTATTAGAAATCTTATTAGTTCCGGAACGCGTTCCTGCCCAAAATGGAAGATTTCAGATGAAAATCTGTACGTTTGTCGCCATTTTTCTTAGCATCACTTTAATAAACTAATAAAGTTTAAAACATTTACCGAAACTGGAAACCAACATCTAGAAATATTAGATCACAACAAATGTATAATAAAAATTATTAAAATTAGCCGTATGCCCTTTTGGGTATGGCAATAAACTATGCCGAGAATGAGTAACGTAGGGTTTGCAGGCCGCTTACATTTCACCAAAAATTAGAAAAAAGTCCAGGAATTCTTTTTAATTCTATTTTTGCCGGTACGCGTACCGGCCCAAAAAGGATATACCGGAACGACGTTCCGGCTCGAGAACGCCATTGAATCTAAAACTTGTAGGGGGAAGTCCCGTAACGCCAGACAGCACCTAATACCGGACACTCTATTTAATACGTATTATTTAAGCGAGTATAAATCTTTTTATATCAAAATAAAAGTCAGAAGGGCGCGGGAGCACACAGGTGCAGAAACACCCGCCAAGACTCACCTGTGACGCACACGGCCACGGCGGGAGCAATCCTTTGCTGTTTTAGGTGCAAAATCACGGCGTCACCTAAATATCAATGGAAGTAATTCTAGTGTATTTATGCATTTATATTTGAGTGGCATTCAATGATAAAAGTAGTACTTGATTGTTATCCGTAAAATGGTAGAATATTGTTAGATATATATTCGTCAAACACACATGTGCAGATACTCCAGAGTGTGGAGATGGCTACCTATGTGTTCAATACTGATTATTTTGAAATGTCCGGTACTAGGTGCCACTTTGTAAAATCATATTTCTTGTTACCAAAGTTTGATTGATAGTATTAATTATTTTTTAGCAAAGGTTGCGTTTTTGTTAATTTAGTTTGATTTCTAACTTTGTTATCTAACATAAGTCATAATTTAATAAACATTTCGTAAAATATTTTTTGATTTATTTATAAATAACCTTAGGTATCCGGCACTCGGAGACTTCCCCCTATACGATTTCAATTCATATTAAGACGTAATTGAGTTCTTATAATTTTGATCAAAGTTTCAAAATTCTTCTTTTTGAGCAAGTTTTATATTTGTAGCTATGTTTGTATTGAGCAAAAAACTTTTCAAAAGAACAGAAATTATTCAATTTGTTTTAGTTTGATATATTAGTATAGAAATTAATTTCTATTTTAGACAAGAGGTATAATTAAATCAAAGCATATATTGACTTTCATGCTGCATTGAAAACGGAAAATTTCTTCCTTTCTTTCTTTCTTTCGATTTTTTATGAATAATAATTACAATTAAAAGTCACCAAATAAATACAAGTATTCATACAATTTTCAAGAATAAAGAAATATTTAGTTTATACTAGTTTACAACTAAATTCAAATATTTTTTTCTGCGACTGCTAACGATGCAAGAATAATTATCGTCCCTGTTGGAACAAATATTGCACCATGGCTCCAATTTCAAATGTTTAATATGCAGCACGAAATACACAATTAAGTTTTCAAAACCATTAATCAACACTTAATAATGGTGATTTAATTTTTGATTAATACTGACCGTCCCCTCGTGCGACCAGGTGACGTGAGGCGGAGGTTGCGGAGCGTATCTGATTTCGCACAGCAGGTTAATTATGGAACCACGATTTATGAACACATCCGGCTCTCCAGCGATTTCCGTTGTGGGTTCTGTGAAATTAGAAAGATATCCGGTTGATGGTAATTTTGTAACGGTGACGGATTTTTTTCCAATTATCTTGTGGGATAAAGGATAGAGGATTTGATTAAGATTGTCTATGACTTCACTATAATAGAAATTTGTATTGAGACGGGGTTTAGAAATAAAATTATATATATATATATATATATATAATATATATAATTTTACTAGAGGCAAATTTATAATTTGTAATATTATCGACTCAATCATTTAATTTTTATAGATTAAAATTTAGACTACCAAATTCACGCACTTACACACAGTCTTGATGATTTGGCATTATTTTGACTGATATCCTATAAATTTTATTTACGGTTACGGTTCTAGAGTGTAAATAAACTAAAATAATAAAAATTAATTGCAATAACTGAAAAATGGTCACAGTTTAACCTTAGCTCAGGGTTGCATTTAAAAGCTCATAATATTTAAACTTTATGATTTTTTTCTTATAATTTTGTTCAAATTTCAATATTTATATTCAAGTTCATTTAATATATAGTTCAAATTTTAATATATACATATATATTAGGGTGGTCCTTAAATTGGTAATTTTCGAATTTTCTTGCTCCCAGGGGCTCAAATGGTTCCAAATAGATAAAAAACAATTATCTGAAAGTTTTAGATCTTAATATTGTCTTTTAGATAGAGCGCAAATCAATCAAAGTTTTGTATGGAAATAGCATGGAAAAATTTTCAAAAATTTTAAAAATGTTTTAGGATAATTTAGCGAACAAATGAATGAATAAAACTCATTCATTTGTCGCTAAGTTATACCTAAAATTTTTTTTTAATTTTCAAAATTTTTTCCATGCATTTTCCATACAAAACTTTGATTGAATTGCGCTCTATCAAAACGTTAATATTAAGATTAAAACTTTCAGAGAATTGCTTTTTATCAATTCAGAACTATTTGAGCCCCTGGGAGCAAGAAAATTCGAAAATGACCATTTTAAGGACCACCCTAATATATATATATATAT